TACTACTTCTTGGGCCTTGTCCTTTCATTCCGGGTCTACCGAGGTAACTTACCGTTCATATTAATAAGGTTTTTTAAGACGTGGTATATAACATAACATATTTTGTGTTTATTGGTTTCGACAATGCCGCTCATGAATATGAGTCCCAGCGTGGCTTGAAACTAGTCGAGTTGTTCGTCATAATAAATTTATTAAGACTAAATTTTATTTCACCCCGTTAAAATGCTTTGCTTTAATGGATTTTCATTATTAAAATATTACAATCATCATTATAAATAAATAAAAAAATATGTACTAAACATACCTACAGAACTGTTAAAAACCGCCTATAAAAGTCACGCACATCGACAGTAACAAAATTGGAATATTTTTCTTAATTTAACTAAAAAAAATCTTATTTTTTAACTTTTTTTTTATATATTTATTATATTAATAAATTGTTTTCTCGGATACATGTTTTGTTGTTGTTAATTGTTATACATGCTTTATTTTTGGGACATAAACGGTTGATTTGAAAGAAAAAAACACAAATAGTGTTTTTTTCAATACAATTTTGTGTGTTGGTTTGTCTTTGATTTAATGCCTATTATTTTTTTTCAGAGACCTTTGGTTGGATTTAGTGGCTTTATCTATACTTGGCATGTCCGTGGCTTTGACACTCTTACCCACCTTTCAAGGAGTGTTAACTAGTTCTATGTGAGTATAACTGTATTCACATGCATACATGTCGTTCAAAAGTAACATAAATGAGGTTATACTTTTTCTCTCCGCCATAGACATCTAAACGTAAGATCAGACAAATGAGTCGCTAAAAACCGAAGCGTTATTTTATTTTTTTATCTGTTTTGAATAAATTCTATAACTTTTTGTTTTTCATGGTACTACTAACCGTACATAACTATTTTAAAATATTCTAAGTACCTTACCTTAGGTAGTAGGTAGGTATTTTACGCATTTTGTAATCTATAATATTATATAAAAATCAATGCCACTTTTCATTGTAATGTTATAACTCAACAATGCCTTTACCGGTTTGGTTAATTTTGGTCTTCGATCATTCTTGGAAGTCCAGAGAAGTTTTATACATAGAGAACATTTAAAAAAAATCTTGAAAATGTGTAAAATCGACATCCATGTGGGCGGAGCCGCGGGCGACCGCTAGAACCTAGCTTTATACAAAAACCAGCCATAATTTAATCAAAATAGGTACTTGGAATGGTTGCGGTGCAACATGTTGTGAGTCGGATAACCATGCGATACCTGATGGAGCGGAGGGAGTTGTTGTTGATGAGCTTGTAACTGCACCCTGCACCCGCACGTCCTTGCAGCGGATAGGGAAATGCTTTTTTAGTAAAAATACTACATATTATGTATTTCTTGGGTCATCAGTTACGAGGGCGGTTGCCCCGAGGCGCTGACAACGTACAGTGCAGTAGCGGGCGTGTGGTCGTGCTGCTACTCACTGGGCGAGGTCCTAGGCCCGGCGCTAGGGGGCGCCCTCACCGAGCGGTATGGGTTCCCGCTCTGTGCCACACTATGTGCTGCTGGCTGCTTTACTATGGTACGGTTTTGTCATAATATCAACATTATTTTACAATACGATATTTTACAACTAGTCAAATTCAATACAATTATTGAAATCTTAAAAACGAAACTGTTTTATGAATTAGGTATGGAAAACAGAAATGTGTCATCATATTTTTTGGGTCAAACTACATACTAACTTACTATTTTCTTAAAATGTAACCAATAGAAATCCATCAATAATGTACGATTATTTTTGAATATTTAACTGTATTGAAATCTTGAAGGAATTTATTTTTGACCGAGTAAAATACCTAATTGTACTGACAATCATAATAACTATACCTACCCACCTTTTTATTTTGAAGTCTAAGCGCCGTCTTGTAAAGGACCAGTGGAACTTACACTGTGTAAAACAACGCTCAATTGAATTTTGTCAAAGGTCAAAGTTATATAAATGTTTAAAAATCGAAACATTATTATTTTTAGGTTATGTTGTAAAAAAAGGTTGCACTACAATATAGCGAATAGGTTCACTAAGAGGACTGACCGACAGACTGACACTTTATACTTATCTTTAAAATTTTGTTTAACGTTCAAAAGTGCCTGTATGGGTCTAATTGAAATAAATGATTTTGACTTTTGACTTAGAATAAGTTTATATTATCCTTTTCCAGGCAGTAGTAACTCTAACTTTCTTCTCTCTGCGCGAGTCCCGTAAGTGCACGCAGTCTAGTGGTAGCGCGTGCGACTCGATTCCTTACACGGACACGACGTGGAACAGCAACAACTTCTGTCGCACGCGCAGCGCGCCGCAGAGCTTGGCGGAGCACGCGCCGCTTATTACATCCTGTTCTTGTTACAATACGCATGGTAAGTCATATTTGCTGTAGGTGTCTAGCAAAGATTAAGAAATCAACAAATTTTAGTTACCAAATGATTTAAAAAAAACTCTGTAACACCGTAGGTACACTGGAAAAACAATTAATTTGATCAAGTTGTTCTTAAGTTTACTGACAACGTTTTCAATATCTCTGTCTTTACCAATTCAGCAAACATGCCTCTTTGGAATAAATTCTTTCTGACCTATTTCTTCAAAATGTTTTATTTGGACATTTTTATCTTCAACAGGCTTCACTTACGGAACCTCTCCTCCAAAACATTTCTGTCTACTGCACAACAAGAGCAATAAAAGCGGGTACGCTAGCATCGCAGAAATAGCCGCCTATATACTCAAATTCCAATTCGTCACTAGTTTCTACATAAAGATGAGGAAATCACGAAGAAAAGCCCTCACACCTCCTCCCAGCAAGCCCGAATTCGACGAACAACTGTACCAAAACTACCTTGATAAAGAAAATGATGAGTCCCGTGTAAAACAACGAATCAACTCAGATGGGTACATTAACATGACCAAGAAAAGTGATATTTACTGTTCATATTTAGAAGACGCCATCTTCGGCAGTCCTGATATCATGAACAATGTGTCCGCTGATCATTTGAAAGTTAAGAAACACAACACGGGGCTAGTTTCCACAGAGAAGCGCTGCGAAACTGAAAAACGAACCACGTACGAAATAATACGACATAATCTCGAAAAAGTACAATTTTATGAGCAAGACGAGTGCCCAGCGTTTGAAGATATTTTTGTAAGTACAAAACATTCCCAGTAACAAATTTTCTACAATAACTCGTATGAAAAACTTGCTTACACCTTAATTTCATCTTTCAGGATAGTTGCGGCTGCAGAGATGGTGTAACCTACGTCAGAGGGACAGTGACTGTCTCCTCCACTGGCGCCTGTGAAGTGTAGGATCTCGTAGGTACTCGGGTTTAAAAAAATAATTATATAAGATTTTTATTAGTTTTAATTCATACCAATTTAACCAAATAAAATTCCAAAATTAAATGAAATTATGTATACATTTTTTGTATTATTTCAGTTGCATGCTTACTTTTCCAACTTTGTTAGCCCCTGACGAAAAGACAATAGCAAAAATATTTTACGAATTGCGCCGCCCACCGGGGTAGCAGAATGTTTGTGGAGTTCTCTTTCGCGAAGCTCCAACATTCCACATTCGCAATTTAAGATCGAACACGGCCGCCTACGTTTTATGCTTCCCTAGTACAAACGACCTCTGCTGACGATTTTGCGACGTTGTCATGGAGATTTTGCAACTCAGCTTGACCACTGTCCACTTGTGTAATCCGGAAAATCTGAAAATGTTTTCGGAAACAACCCTCCCTGTCGTGCAGTTAACCTTGTCATAGGAAAGTCCCCGTAGCGCCTCGACGCCAATGGCCAACATTGGTTTTCCACGACCAATCCCGGACCCACTTGTACCCGGATTACATGAGTTGGTAACAGATTTACTTGTAAAAGTTAGTGTGAAGACATCGGAAAGTAAAAGTTAAACCTAGACATTCTCATTGTAAGTCGCAGGATTTTCAGTCCGGGTTTTCACATTGACATTCTCGATTTTCGTTGGATCTGTTTATAATTAGGTTTGTATTTGGAACAGCACGAAAGCTATAGTAAAATAGAAATTTAATTAACTATTTCAATAAATTGATAAACTGATTAATTCCTATTGACAACGGTTAAACATAATCTAAAAATAGAACAATAGATTTTTACGCATTATTGACACATAATAATATATTTTTATATATTGTTTCAATTATAACGAAATGATACAAAATCATCATATATTTTCATCGTAAACTCACGTTTCAATAATCTGCGTTAAAATTGGTATTGTTATCGGTGACTGTTCAATAGATACGACGTCCACAACACCAGGCTGGCATAAGGTTACAAGATATTACTTTTAGCTTTCAGTACATATTCGATTATTGAAACTGTTTAAGTTTTAATTTAATATCAGTATCTGGTACCTGGTAATTAAAATAAAATTGGCTAATAATAGGTTAAAACGAAAAAAAAATTGCACAGAATATATTTGTTGCTAATATTCATTTTAAAAGTTCGCTCAATTTTGAGCTCTTTTTGGTTACTTGGATTGGACCGCGTGTATAGAGGGTTGGGGGAAAATCACAGAGGGTGCGACCCTCTATTGCGGGAACGAGACAAAACTCATTGTCCTTTTCTGTTCATGGGTACTTAGAAAGTGCTCTTCAATACAATGTTATCCTGGTACCTCGTGCATTTTGTTGTGAAGTAACAATAGTTAAGCCCTGAAGTGGTTGCTATGGGTTTTAAAACTACTATGTAAATGTCTCTTTGAGAGATACTAATGGATGAGTTAGGGGAGACTATTTTAAACTTTAAGCCCTTATTAAATATATTTAAATATGTATTATTATATTTAACACGCTTACTTAATATATTAAAAAATTCTGTAAGGATCCAAAACATTTATGGTTCTAGTAATCGTAAGCAACTTTGTGGTTTAAATTTTTTTATAAAACAATTATAGTAACGAGTACAAATCTTTATCTGATAAGTTTACCTTATAAGGAGTTTACTTACAATCGTGAGGTAGGAGTTTCACAATTTCATGGGGGTTTGAATAAATCATATTGTCCGAACTATCAAAAGTTAATCCGAATATATTCTTGATGGAAGCTATTTCGGTCAACGTGTGGTTCTCCTTGTGCGCTACGTAGATGGCACTTTTAGCGCAGAAGTGCGCGACGCCTTTGTGGTTTACTTCAATGGCCCTGAACTGCTTCGGTCCTTGGTATGGGATGCGGTCGTTTTTCCCCTTTTTTATCTCAAACAAGCCGTCCCTGGTCGTTATGAACGTGTCACCTTCTCCATCAATAGCGAATTGGTATATCTTTTCGTGAATATGTTGTTGAAGTGTGACATTTTTATGTTTGAAATCGTATTTGTGCAGGCGTTGCGATGGGTACTGGATGAAGTACAAGTGGTGATCAAAGTACTGTAAATCCCAAATGTCACGGTTCTTGACGATGTGCTTCAAATTCCCGGATTTTTCAAGATGATCAGCGTAGATGCCTTCATTGCCTCCGAAATACGCTGTTTTGTTATGTTCGTCGACGACGACAGCGAAGCCGTTTTTTATTCCTTGTATTTCTGTAGGCATCGTGTCGTTTATTTTCACGTAAGCAATCCCGAACGTGTCCTGGGTGTCATCTCCGGCATTGAAACTGAAGAATATTTTATGCTCGTGGTTGTATATTGCCAGTTGGTACGGCCGGTTGATCCCGTTCATAATAACATGTCTTTTATGCAGTTTTCCGTGCACATGCACCCCCTCACAGGTTTTGTTGGAGTTATGTGGTTTGTGTTTAGGTTTCTCAGTTGTTTTACCGTATACACCAACTATCACACAGATCAAAACAATTGTAAACTTCATTTTTACGGGAATAACAACAGTCGTGGTTCACGGTACTTTGAATACTAAATATTGTTCTGTATTCTGAGACTAAATACAAACTACAGCAATCAGTGAAATTTAATATTGCATTGATAATTTGTTACTAGCAATAGATATCAAACAACATGTGAAGCTGGAACTACGTGATATATAATTACTATTTACATTTCAACATTACTTATATGTACCAAAATAATTTTCATTATGAAGTCAACATACTTAAGTTGACTATTTAAGTAAAAGCAATATCTTCTGTACGTGCAATAAAATTTAGCCCGAAGGGTTCAAAGTCTAGACTATAAAACAAATGAATGCCCGTGTGATGTTCACCCCTCAGGCATGTACCGCCGTGGGTGCCCACTGACGTCATAGCCGAACCATCGGACCGAATTGTGTAATCCTTCACAAAGAAAATTCAACTGTAACGTTGTTTGAATAAAGTTTGAATTTATTTTTGGATGCGTTAATTCCAGCTTCTAGAGAGGCAGTGGGTTTAATTGGATCAGAGGTGCTTACAACTGTAAACAATTTGTTAGATTTGTGAATCGACCTTGATGCTGAGATGTAAAATTTAAAGCATCTGAGTTAGTTTGTAACCCATTTAAGGTCATAAAGTTCATATTTTGTATTTTAATAAGACTTTCTCTAATCCTTAGTTGGTTAAAAATGTTCATCGTGAGAGAGCCTGTCAAGTACGTAGGAAGTAAATAATTGTACAATTACGTATTAAAAAAACACTAACAGATGAAATTTTCTTTACTGGAACAGATGATAATGTACATCATAATATGTTTTTTAAACATACCCGAATAAGGTTTTTAATGACATGTCCATAGATATCCCTTAAGTCCCGTAAGTAAAAAAATGTGTAAGTTCTATGGTGCCTCCAAATTTTAGTGTTTTTATTTTCTACTAGCGGCCCGCCCCCGCTTCGCACGGGTCCAAATATCTCGCTATCAAAGGGTCACTTTTTCCCAATATTCCCCTCTACTTTTCTAATATTTTCTTTGGTAAGAACCTTCTCCTGACAATAACAAACACAACAAAAAAATTGGTCCAGGCGTTGTTGAGTTATGCGCTTACCAACAAATTTTGCGATCCATTTTTATATATAAGATTAATTAATTATTTTGTGACAATCTTAAATACGGTACACAGAATGTCACTAAAGTCTACATTTCGAATTTCGAAACAGTAGAGTTCTAATTAAATTCGGAAAAAGTGGCTGTGATATTCTGACGTTTACAAAGACGGATTACTTACTTATCTATAAGAGTTCCATTTTTACCATTTTACCACGGAACCTTAAACAGACGTGGTGGAATGTACGTATACCATTAAAAGCTAAAAGCTTATAGGTGCTTACATAAATAGACTACCAGAGCGTAGTCACCTAAGCGCGTACTATCTAAATATAGATATGTATGTCTGGACCCATCCCTCAGGGAAAACAAAATGCGATATTATTCAATACAGTTCAAGGTGAGAACGTTGAATAACTATTTATATAAAGTAGGGTAACGAAAATAAATTAGATTTATTTTTGGTAAGTCACGTGAGAGAAGCCTTGCGTTGACGTAAATAGGCTTCCAGGGCACGTATGTACTTAATGTTTCCGATCTAATTTTACGTGGACTCATGTAACTTTCTACCTCATTACCTGCTTACCTTGAAATAAGTGCTGTAATTGCACCGTGTCTAGACTGTAAGCACTTGTCTATTTGACTGGACTTTTTTATAGTTTACCTGATAGCAGTCAGCACGGCCCATTGACGTCCGTAACAATGGAGGAGTTACGAGTGCATTGCCGACCTTTTAGGGATTAGGGAATTTTAGATTTTGGGTTAAAGTATCAATTGGGGGAGGGGAAGGATTGGGCCCAGTAACGAATTTTTGGTTATTCCACGACGGTTTCTGTGAGGCCGTGGTATCACTCCGGCTAGCCGGCCCATTTGGGCCGATATATGGCTTCCAAAATTAAAATTATTTATATATATGTTGCCTCCACGGTTCTTTGGTTTGCTCTTTCTGTCAAGTGTTAGTTAAATGAGTAAACTTATTTCCGATTTCAATTTAGTTGCGAATTTAGTTTACAACACAAATTTCACTGTTTTTAAACTCATCCGGGCTTACGCGGCTCAGGTCTGGAGAAGGATTTTAGTCAGTTAGAACAACATTGCCTCTCAAAAAAGGTTTTTAAACACAAAACTACATAATTACTAACAACCATTGATACGGCCTTCGACCTTTAAATCTGTAAGAAAAGGACGTACAGTGTCCATTAGTTTCTTAAACCGTTTACTAGTTTGCACACACACAACAACTTATATTAGATGATACATATACGAGAACTTAAATAATAAAGTAATTAAATAATCGTTTTAAATATTTTATTCTTCAAAAGAACAGGCACATGTAATCGCTTAAAATAATTATTGCTTTAATTAATCTTTGGTACTAAAATAAATAATAATAACTTAGACATTAAGTGAAGACTTGACGACAAATTAGTTATTAACAATAGTAGACTATACACCTAGGAATTCAACGTGGACGAAGGTTGTGACTATGTTATAATAGAGTGGTCATTTAATCCCATAGTAACAAGGTACTAGAATACAGCTTGGTAGATATTCAAGAAAGTTAAACAAATCAGAGTGCGGTGGAGGCACCATAATGTCGGTTGTATAACTCAGAAATATCAGAGGCAGACTGCCTAATGCGCTTGCAATGTTGGCAACAGTTGCACCCCAGATACAAGTTTTCTTGCAAACAGATTATCTGCATTCATTTTTCAAAACATTGTGCTAGTATGACGTCATGCCTACATCGCATCGCTTACTGAAATGAATTGAACATTGAAAATAAATGGTCGCTCCAATAGGATGTATCATTGTTATAGGCGTCTAAGTAATTGTTTATTATTACCAGTCATAAAGTAGTGTTTGCTGCCTCAACCTCCAATTCAACTTGTTTGATTTTCGTGAATGTAAACTACCTATAAATATCTAGTTATAGATTTGCCCCAACATTGGCTTCAAACTTTGCAGTAAACAAATTAAAAATTCCATCTTGTTCATCAATCATTTTCACATTATAAGGACGGATATTTAATATCGACATAAACGCTATAGAACTATATGTAAGCTACGGTCGGGGACTTACCGTCCCAAAAATCTCTGGTCTTTCAAGTGCAGACAAGGACGCGCGAGATGGATCCGGTTTAATATTTTGCAGAGTCAATAAGCAAGTCGAGGGCCCCAGACAAACACAATGCCACATTTACCATCACAAATGCAACATTTCACGACGCAGACGTCTTGTAGCTTTTGTTCGTCATAAACTTTATATTTCAAAGCGCAGTTAAACATTAATAACGTGCTTGATATTTTTACGACGGTCTCAAATGTATACCACAGTATGCTAAATGTGTGAAGTCTGAAACCACTCGGAACAATTGTAATACAAGGACGCTAACAGCAAGGGATTGTTAAATGTCTCAAAACTTCCGCGACACGTTTTGCGCAGCGCATCTAATCTACTTTCAAGTTCATCTAGCGTTATGTCATCTTCGATAGTTATGTACGATACTGTATGGGCGTAGAAACAGACAGCCGGTGACGTCATTTTGTCAGATTAAATTAATTTTTGCATAGAAATTAAATCATCCCTAGATAACACGGATTTTAATAGGACTTTATAACGAAAGTAAATATTACGAAAATGATGGAGGAAGCTATACTAAAAATAGGTTTGGTAGCACTGTTTCCGCAGACCAATCTTCTAGAGGCCACGGAGAGTTTTTTGTTCTGTAAGAGTGAGTGAACGGAGTCCAGCTCCCAGCGCTCCATGAAGCCAGGCTCGCGGGAGAACAGCACGGAGTACAGCTGCGCAGACTTGCCATTAACTTGATCTTGACAGAAGTTCAATAGGAGATGATCGTTAACTGCCTTCAGCACTTGTATAGTGCCACTGAACTGTTGATACGTGGGCCGAGCCGTCAATGTTCCTGTAATGGAAATTGAGTCCAATTAATTTTGTTACTGAGTCGATTCATCAGTATTCGTCCTACACGAAACCAAATGAGTTCTTTGTGTATTTTGGTCAGTATTTTAAGAGGAATACGTATTAAGTACTAAAGCAAACAGTTTATTTATTAGCTACTAAGTAGCTATTGTCGCGCTGTTTCACCCGCTGCTCAGCTCCTACAGATCTTAGCGTGATGTTATCTAGCCTTTATCCACAAATGGACTAATTAACACAAAAACAATTCAATCCAAACCAGTATTGGAGATTAGCGTGCTCAAACAAACAACCTAGCTTTATATCTAACAATTACTAATATTATAAATGTGAAAGTTGTGTTTGGATGGTGAAAATGTTTGGATGTTTGTTACACAATCAAGCCAAAACGGCTGGACGTATCTTGACGAAATTTGGCACAGGCATAGGATACACTCCGAAATCGAACATAGGATACTTTTAATCAACATAGCACGAGAGCGAAGCCGCGGCGGAAGCTAGTATCTAATAATTTCATAGATCGTCTCACCGTTCTGTCCGTTGAACACCTGCCAGTAGCCAGCGGAGTCGTTCTTGAAGTAGAGTGAGTACTCAATGGTCTGGCCAGCCTCGTCCCACAGCAGCCTCAAGTGCCTGTACTCGTGACGGAACTTCGCGTTGATGTGCTGCACGTGGAACAGCTGGTTCTCCGTTGAAGGCTAGAAAGTAATACAAGAAAACTTTTAGAACTACGTGTCGATTTGAAGCCGGCATTTCCTATCTGCCTACACTAAAAAGAAATGCTCTTTGAAATATATTGTTTCTTGTAACCTTCACGCTGTGGTGTAGTTTTCTTAATCCGGTTCAGATTGTTTTATTTTGATTTTTATTAGTAGCTATGGTCATATAATAATATTTTATACATTCGTTCCATTGGGCACTAAGGATGATTTCTCTAAAAAGTGTAGGTACATCGTGTGACGTATAGATGGCACAAAGTTCAAGTTCTCATAAACAATAAAGACTTTGTCTTAAAATGTCAATTACCTATTTATCATTGACTTGTTAAGATATTATTTTCTTGCAATAGAAAACAGGGCCAATACCGTAATTCAACGGAAAGAGTTCAAATTAAAATACATTTTTTTATAGTATGTAAGTTTTTTATAGTTTGTAAGTTTGTATGTAGGGGATAATCTTTGGAACCGCTGGTCAGATTGCCAAAACTCTTACACTGATAGACAGCTGCAATGTTTCTGAGTGCTATACCTAGGCTAAAATATCACGCTACGATTAAATGGAGCCGAGCAGCGGGTGAAACCGCGCGACAGTTTTCATTATTTTTATAATACACTAGCGACCCGCTCCGACTTCGCACGTGTGCAATACTGATACTAAACTTCTCCACTGCTTAATAGATGTTATTGTACATATAAACCTGCACACAAACAACACTCTATCTGTTAAAAAAAATCGCATCAAAATCCGTTCCGTTGCAATGTTTTAAAGATGTAAGCTTACATAGGTATATAAGGACTATTAGGGACAGAGGAAGCGACTTTGTTTTATACTATGTAGTGACAATACAATCAAATTATCATGAACAAAATTTGTATGTAATTGTCCTAAGTATATAGTATTATGTTTTCGACAAACTAAAGGTACCTAAATATTTTTTTACGCACCTACTTATATTTCTCAAACACGTTACAGTTTCTATGTTCCAATTGAACCTGATGTTAGTCATCGCGTTCTAGACTGCACCATTCCTCGAGATTAAATGGGTCAGTCAGATTGACCTCAGACGAGGGTCAGATGTGTCACCGTGGGTATACCATGCAGGTCACATTAATTGTACAATCTTTTGAGGCCTCCTGAGATGATGATAAGTAGATAATAAAGTGGGAGCAACTAATTGGCCCATTGTCATATTTTTAGGTGTGAGTGTGTGTCAGAGTGACCAAATGATATGTTAGGTTCGTTTTTCAGAGTGACTCGAGCGAAAACGCATAACATTCGGTTCTACGGTTTCCTTCGGTCAATTGAAGGTGCCAATGCTTTATACAAACATTGTTTGCACGAACACGAGTCATGTGTAACTAGATAATGTGGGCGCAGTATTTTCAACATGTCTATCATTATTTCTGTTTATTTTACTAGTATTGCCCTTGTTACTCTACCAAGTTGTGCATTGAATTGTGATAAATGGGAAAACACGATATCTAGAAAACGTTATACCTATACAGGAAAGGAATACTGAGGAAATAAAAAATCATTTGTGAATACCGCACTAATGATGTTAAGAACTTTTTTAGATAAATGTTACCTGGGGAATAATTATGATGCTGTCGCGTCAGAACGTTTGTATAAGACAATGACAGCAAGAATTTTATTCCTCAAATAACATTTATCTGAATATTGAAAAATCAGTCATTAAAAAATTTCACTCTAACAAATGTTGCTTCTTAATATTAAAAATGTACAATATCCTCAGAATAATTGAAGCTAAAAAAAAATTATTGATATTTTACCAATTTTTTATTTCGTTGAACTAACAACAGCTACCTAGAAGCGTTTATCAGTAAAAATAAACATACATTCTTTTTAAAAACAAGGTGACATTGTTATCTTTTCTTGCTATAGATAAAAGATGCAATTATTTATCAGAATTCGGGGTTAAACAAGTGCGAGTTATTTATCTTTATGTATTACACTTAATAATATAAGCAATAAGTATTCATGTAATAAAATATAACTACGATATTGGGTTCACGTCTGACTTCAATAAATAACAATACCCCATGTATTTTTGCAATGCAATCTACATTGGAATAAATATGCATCTAAAACTGTAATACCTACACATAAGAGCAGGCATTTATGAACAAAACAATCAATTGTGCAATATTTTTTTAGCAGTTTGTAGACTTAATATAGGCATATCTTTTTTATTTTAAAATTTCGAGCGATCGCTGTCCGTCATTATCTTAAGTGAATCATTCTTTAACACATTCATAAACGTTTCTTTGAATAACAAAGTCACCAGCATTTTTGCCGCCAAAACTTTGTCCACAGACTTTTTATGCCATAGATATCATTCTACCTTTAACATTGTGAAATATTGAGACATACAAAGATTAATAATTTAAAATCTCCTCAAATAGATAAAAAAAAATGTTATGATAAAGTTTATTAAAGATTCTTTGACATTGGATAAAATATCGTTTGTTTATTATATGTAGCAACTAGATAACTGAGCAATTCATTCTAATCCTGTCCTCGAAAGCAATGTTCGGAGTAGGAAACTGTTCAGTTCCACCGGCCGGATGGATCATTGGGCGGAACTGACTCCCTACCGCATGCGAGTGAAACACCTGTGTCACTGAACCCGAGGGTCCACAAGTCCACAGAATAATTCTTTTTTATATTCAAATACCTAGTAGATACAAATTACTACTGGAAATATTTCATTAGACTTGATATTGATTATACTTTTAATTCGATCTAGGTATTCTACACGAATAGATGACACTGGAATAATTTATCACATAGGTAAAATTTATATTTCAGTTGTTCTGTACTTTGAAAGCACCAACTGCACTAAAGTCGAATAGCATCGTTTAATAACAGTTACTATATCAAAGTACTCTGTTATTCGATCAGTTATGTTTCCGTGAGTCACGCGCGGATTTACATTATTATAAAAAGTATCGGCTCTGACCGAATTGGTAAGTTTCTACATACGTATGTATCTTCGTACAAGGGGATATCCTCTCATACACTATGAGTCACAAACTAGTTCTACAAGTAGTAGGTACCTAATATACATGTTTTCTTAGGAAGATCTATTATAAGTACATCTGCACTAAATACAAACCGCTTTTTGCTTACGTTATGTCATATCTATATCCAGTTTTCTAATCAGTTATTTTGTTAGCGTTATGACAACAACCATCGTAGCGATTCCCTCTGATTATACGTGTGTACTATATATACCTATGTATTACAAGATATTACGCATGCGATAAGGACTAATTTCGCATGTTTTTTATTGTTGCGCAATATCGCCAATATCCGAGTTCTACTTTGCCTCCTCTTGAACAAGTTGTGCAATATTGAACAAATACTTTGTGTGTTTACGTTACTCATTCATAATATTAAATGGTATTTGTTTAATTAAAGGAAAAGATTCTTCGTTGAAGACCTTTACCTGATTTGTTGAACTTACCTAATTTTTGATACTTATAAGGAATTACAGCTAACAGTAAAATTGCTCAATATTGCACATTTGTTTTTGCATGACATTGATGAACAAGACTTCATTTCGCGTTTATGTTCAATGTTCAATTAACACCTGTATATTGTTTACATAAGGTATATGTTTGAACACAACATTCACGGTCGTCCAAGAGTGTGCCAGATGTAAGCATTTACCGGCATTGCTTACTGTCCGAGTAACAAAATAAAAATAGCAACGACCTTGCTGTTGCTAACTTCATACAGTTTACACTACTGGGTACGTATAGAGATCCCTTATCTACGACAATATTGTTTCGTTTCCCTATATATTTATCGATATTTTACCATGTAATTGTTGCTTTTAGCAATATAATCAATCGATATTTTAAAATAATTTAGTTATAGGTATAGAGGTTAAGTATTATAGGTAGCGTATTTGAACAGTTTGTTTCTAAAAATAACAAAGTTGATTAGTCATTATAACGAATTTATTTTGATAACACTGAGATGGGTTTTTATTATAGTCGTTTTTAACAAATATGGTATTGGTTAGATACCTAAGTAAAAGAAGATATAGGTAGTATTACCATTTGATGAGATTCGTGACGGGAAATTTTGATCTGATCTTCGTCAATAAATAGCTATTTCTATTAATGATTCTATACACGCAGAAGAGTAACATTTTATTTTTGCCTTAATAAACCTTGGCTTATTTTCTTGTTCTAAAAATTAAATACGCAAATATTTGGGTAGATACCTTAATTGGACAATTTCTAGCTACCTAGCTTCATCAAGCACCTAGCTTTACTGAAGAACAGATTATGGTTTGTATAAATGATATGTAGTAATAAATGGTTTTGTCTTTGACTTTGATTTCTTTTATTTTCCGGATAAAAGCACAGAGGTTTACATTGTATAGGGTAACAGTCGCATTTTCAATAAAAACATTTGTCCATACATTACGTCATGATTAGTAATGGAGCTATAGTGCAGTAGTTTTAGTAGCAAGTTAGTAATTAGGTATATGTTAATAAAATGCAGCAAGTCTGAAAGTTAAGCATGGTATGACAGAATTGCACCTATTTCCAAACCTCACTTACACTCAATTATTCATGTGAAGCTATAACGTTTACAATTTAATATACATATGTAGATATTAAAGTTGAATAGTCAGTTTGTTTCGATTACAACAATTCTTTTTGAAGGCTGTAGACTGTATAGAGAGAAAAACACGAGCAGGTGAAACCGCGCTGGATTAGGTATTAGGTATATTACCATACTACCTATTATATATATTTATAGCTACCCTTTCGTGTAGCAAAATAAACAATAACTACTTATAAAAAAACCATTAAGGTGTAAATAGGTAATGAAATGAGGAATTTAGTAGGCTACCTACTTAGCAAATGTAAACAACAACTAGAGTCATGTTTGTGAGATATTTGTAAGTTCATTGACCTTATTTATTACCGATCTAGGTCCATCTTTGCAGGGCTTTCTAGTATTTAATGTTCTTTAGAACATTTTTGTAAGATAGCCTTTAACTTCTATCTTAATAGATGTGTAGGTATACCTACAGTTAGTTAAGTGCCAATATATATACTGCATATATTTCATAATTTAATTAACTACGATTCTATGCATACCTAATTTTATTATTCTTGTCCATAAAAATAATTTGAGGAAGTCACGACTATCGATTTAGGTATTAACTAAACGCGTGCCTTAGTTTTTCATTTAAAAAACGAATGCAATAAACACATAAATGTTCAAGTTTTAATTGCGCTAGACAAGTTATATCCTAAACTATTATAATGTTACTAATATTATAAATGTAAAAATTTGTAAGAATGTATGGGTGTATGTTTGTTTCTTTCACACAATAACGGCTAAACCCATTGGGTTGAAGTTTGGAATATAGTTAGGTGAGATTGGCATATATTATGATGGCTGAAGCTAGTACAACTATTTTTTTAAAACTAATGTTGGTTTTAAGAGGTACCTATCTATTTTGTAACTTTTTCCAGTAGAAGGTAATATCATTTTGTAAGTATATCGGAAATTATAATTCAAAGATTGACCATCATTAATGACAGATTTCCAGATTAGGCCTAATGTTCGAACTATGCAACGGATTTTGGTGCAGATTTTTATTAGTTATAGCGATTGAAGAGAAAGGTGATTTATATATATATATTAACATCCATTAAATAGTGGAGAAATTTAGTATCAGCATTGCACCCGTGCGAAGCTGGGGCGGTTCTCTATTTACCTATGTATTTATACTAGCTTGCGCGGTTTCACCCGCTGCTCAGCTCCATTTGATCGTAGCTTGATGTTTTATAGCCTATATCACTCAGGAACATTATAGCTTTCTATCAGTGAAAGAATTTCGACAATCCGACCAGCGGTTCCAAACATTACCCCCTACATACAAACTTACAAATTTTACCTCTTTATAATATTAGTATAGAAAAGTCAAACGACATGATTGACTAAGTGCAGCCATTTTTATCGAAATCATCTCATTGCTACCAGTAGCAGTGATGACTGGTTATCTAAGACTGAGTTACTAAGACTATTTAAAAATTATGACGAACGCGTACGTACGTACGATGTTCTCAATTTCTAAGTATCTAATGTATTTTCAAGGTGTTACTCATTGAGACGAAGTGAAAAATGTACGCTGTTACACATTATGCTTTTATTTTTATTATATTTACAATTTATTATAGTATTCGCAAGTAGTAAGTAAGTACAATACATTATTTTATTCTATCGGTGGTTCAGTTTTTCAGACTCCGATTGTCTACTAAAACGAAACCTACGACTAATATAAAAAGATCACTTTTACAATCACTAGGAAAACATAAGTACAAAGTACATATTCCTATTCGGCAGTAAATAATCCTGTCTTCTAAACACACATATATCACATACACCTACCTATAAACGGAGGCACATATATTATTATTCTAAAAATTCTAGAAAATATTCAGCCTTCTCCTAATAATAAGTAGACAACTTCTATTTTCAGTCTCATTACCGTACTAGTAACATAAAGATCAGAATAAACAGATACACATGTTAGAAGATCATTAAGGAATTCTTCTTCTCACCGACAGCCGTTATACAATGAAATTTGCTCAATTGAAGTAGTTACACAATACAATCAAGTGGTCTACGAACAATATGCACGAATGTAAAAACATTATTAAATCCTTACACAGACCCTAAATGACACAACCAGCACTATATGTATGGTTGGTCAATATGAAAGTATACGCGGTCCACGTTATATATGGTAATAATAAACTAGTAAGATACATGCAGAGAGGTGGATTTCTTAAACTTCTATAATAGGTAATGTTAGTTACAGAAGAATTTGTCGTCTCATATTCTCCCAATTGAAAAGCAACAAAATTACCCCAAACGTGGTGGTAGGGAACTTTTCTTCTTGCCAGATGGTGACTTGAGGACAGCTGTTGAACTCGTTCACTCCTTCCTTGCTAAGGTGCAAGTACAGCTCCCTCGCGTACCACTTGCCCAGCACTTTCCTAATGTCCAGACCGTCGTACAAGTGGTCCCGCGCACAAATCACAGTCGTCGTCTCATTGTCTACTTCACTGGTGTAGTTCACAGTATGGTTTGTGTAATGGCCGAAGTCGTACACAATATATTCAGCAGCTATTGATGTAAACAGAAACATCCAAGGTACAAATCGATAAAATAACTCCATTTCTTAAATTAAAGTTTCTGGTACTCTTGTATCCAAAACTCCACTTCTTCTTCATCAAAGTTCTGTGATGTTATTTTGAAATTCGAATATATCTCGAGTGAGATTATAATTCGATTTTTCCGCGCGCGCACAAATATTGCGCTTATAAAAGATCGTAGCCGACTGAGGCGTAGCGGCGCGCGCGCCTGACTCACGCCGCTTGATGTTATCAAACTTGACCCGAACGCTTTTATATACGAACAGACCCGGCACCGCCGCCGCCTCGTAGGTAATCCCCGAACGAAAAAAGCAAGTACACATTACTTCGAATTTCACAACATAAGTAATAATGTATGACATAATTTTTTTGGACCACTCCTGAACTATAATTTATATACTAGAAGACGATACTATGTTTTCTAATTTCTTTTTTATGAAACACAGGTGAAAATAGGAAAATCTACAACTGGAAGCATGATTGCGCAACAGATAACATAATATTGTATTTTCGATATGTGTTTATTATGTATCTGTTACATCATATTTTGTGATAGCAATGTTTTTAAAACTATTTTGGAAAATTATCAATCAATGATAGTAAATCATAGAATATCAATCAAGCCGTTTGTAAGCAAATAAGGAGGTATCAACTCCAAACGCATGTTTTTTTTTTAGAAAGTACTTTCTGGGAAAATGAACATACATTTATACACATCAGAACCTGAGTAATTTGTCTCCTAATTAATCTATCTTGTATCACATAATATTAATGCAACGCTTGCATACAATGTAAACAGTTCGAATAAACACGTTAATATCTTAACTCGTGAACTTTAGCTGAACTAAGAGTTATCTCATTTTGATTCAAGTACTTAGGTAAATAAATATACACTTTGTTTATGTTCTGTTGGTATAAAAATGTATTTTGTATATTGTGTCGTAGTTTGTCTCATAATATTTTTAGTCTTAGAAATGTTATTAATAGTCGAAATTAGCGTTAAGACAGCAGATTTGGGTATTTCTATATGTTGATATTTTGACTACCATTTATTACTTCGCTGATAAAAAGAAAGAAAAAGGAATAAAGATTAAGAAATCGTCTCCTAATTTATCGTTTATTATAATTATTTTTTTCTAAAACGTTGATAATAAAAATGAAACATATTATTGATTCGCAGCCTTATGTATATCTTAGTTTTTTAGCAAAAGTTCTTTGAGTCTTCGAAATATAAGTACTTATAATAAATGACACGGTTATATCTAGGTCTATCTATCAAATAATATTTTAGATATAAAACCTCACAAGTACTCGGTGACGAGGGGCCAAAAACTAACGTAGGTACATACTAGTACTTAATAGTACTCATTATTATATTGGTATTTTCAATATTCCACTAGCGAAAAATACATAATAGACCTTACTTTTGGATTTCCAAGAACAAGCCAATGTAGATCATTTAGGAATATTACTAACAAGTAAGTACGTACGGTATAAGGCAAATGAAGGTTGATTATGATTGGGTATTATTGTTTATTTCTAGTATTTATAGACAATAATTTTATTGTATAAAAGAACGTATTTATTATATCGATTTGAACATAAAACTGAACATTTCTTTCAGTTAAAAATCGTTACATAATCTGCGTCTCTGTATAAAAAAAACCGCCTTTTCAATTAGGCGATCAATAATATTTTATATAAGCTAGTCAAATTCAATAATTTTATAGAAATGTCAAAAACTAAACACTTCTAAAAGTTTGTGTGACGTCATCATATTTTTGGGTCAAAAAGCATACTTTTTTCTTAAAATAAAACCAATAAAAAACTAAATTTACGATTTGACGATACACTATCGTCAATTAAGTACCTACCTACGTTTTTTTTATTCTGTGAAATCTTGAAGGAATTTTATGTCTGTAGTTAACTCGAAACTACCGAACTTTCATTTAATTTAATTTCAAATTTCGAATTTAATTTCCTCTGCTCGTCATCCAAAATAAGTTGCATTATAAAATTTTATTTAATAAAAAATACGAGTGTGTAATATTTGTAGATCTGTGGTAAGGAGTAATAGAGATGGGTGGTATTTGTCACAACAATCGTTACATGCGAGGACGTCACTAATTGACGGGATGCCAGTTGGTCCAGCACCGCTCACTTACCGTTTATGCTTTTCTAATAGAAAGCTTCTGATAAACTTATCTATCGATTACATTTTATTCTTAATTAAACTACGTTACTACTTCTATGGGGTCTATATTAATCCTCAAGTCTTATAAAACCCGATGTCTAAGTCCTTGACTCCGTATCACAGAGTTAGAACAAAACTTTGTGCTCCGTATTCATCTATCAAACCCCAAACGAACGCCGGCGTGTGCGCTTACTGTGTCTCTAATTACCATGATTGGAAGGTTAAAATAAGTTCATATTTCACTTTAAATCGACTTCAAAACTGAGCTACCACTGACGGCCAATATATATTTATTAATAAATTATATTAATAAATCACTGTTACTGAATACTTTCATAATGATATAAAAATTCAATAATATATTAATTATCTTTGACATTCTTAACCGACTTATGACTGTTGCTACGCGACATAATAAGAACAGATTGTCTCATGCGACTCTCTGCGCGTTCAGCAAGCCAGAATTTAAATTATTATTTGGATCAATAAAATTCTAATAAAACATTAGTTGATACATAAATAACTGTTTCTCTTATTGCTACATAAAAATAAACAAATTAACAACATTGCTATTAATGAGAAAATATTATATCGGTAGGGGCTCCCATCGCAATAGTATAGCGCCAATTATAATATTGAGTAGCAACCATAATAAGCATTATCTTAATCAACAAATATATTGTAATGAGTGCTTGATAAAATATTATTGAAATAATTATGTTAGCGAAAATACAAGGACCTTTGAAAGTACTAGGAGAGGTTAGGGATGACGACTCTTTAAAAATTAATTGTTATCACAAAGTTGTTATAGAAATATTTTAGTTTTCTTAGTTTATAATATTGTTTGAGTTATTTAAGTGATGTTAGTGTGGTATATGACGCTAAACAATATGGGAAATCTTATAAAAAATACATAAATATATCGTAGATATTTGATTTTTAATGAATATAGAATTTGAATGCCTAGTTCTTGCGAAATTAACTTAAGATCTGAGGATCATTAAAAAATATATATAAATTTAAACTAACCTGGTCAATAGGCTCCGAAATGTGTATCACGATACAGGTCCTCGCGTAGTCGACCCTGGAGTCACCAGCCAGATGTTGGACGAACTCCACACCGTACCACATGCCCATTAGGTTTTCGACCCAGATCCCTTGCTGCGGCGACCTGTTCACGCAGTAGTCCCTTATGTTCTTCATGAAGGGAACTTCGTAAGAGCTGTAACCAGTCCCGTAGCCCTGGCCATATCCCTGGCCGTACTCCTGCCCATAAGTTCTTCCGTAGTTGTCTCCATAGTTTGAAGTACTGTAGCCGCCCGGAGGGTAAAACATGTTCGATTTCAGCGTACTATAGGAGTTGTATTTGCTGGTCGAAGCTCCAGAAGCGTAATTAGGATACCTGGTCACTTCTGGGAAATTCGCTATATCGCTCCCATAAGTACCGGATTTGTATGGAAATTGGTTGTATGGGCTCACAGTTGAAGAATAACTCGAAGGGGTTGCGTATCTTGCGTCACCGGGTTCAGCATATCGCTGGTAGTTGGCACTATCGGCTGTATTCCACAAAACAATTAAAACGACCACGTTTCGGTACATTTCTACTTGTTTTCTGACGTTCGGCGTGTGTCGTTGCGTGGTAGTAAGGTTGTGTGTACAATGTGTGACTGGTGCGGGCTCGCGATGGGAGTGGGAAGTAAACTAATTACGACTAATTCACGACCACTGCTCCCTGAGATGAGAACAGGTCTAAGTCACATTTACAATTTCTTGTGTCGACTTCATTATATTAATTAGTTACACGATCCTCTGTTACAATAACTGGCTGCAGGAGATATACTTTAATTTTGTTAAGTTTAATTATGTAGTAATGTTTTTTTTTTTAATATTTTAGGGCTGTTGTTTGTAGGGATATCCGTCCCTAACAATAGAATTGGAATGTACTAATTACAATAATATATACAAACAAAATTGTATTATATTATCTTCTTGCTACTGACGAGTTTTTAGCTAGTTTGGTTAAATTTTATAAAAGTTTTTAAAAGAGATGGCTAAAATCCAGACTTACTGCACTTTCAAAATGGTACTTCCTCACACCTATTCTTCCAGGACTATGCAGCTACGCTAATGATATAAAAACCTAGATAAGCTGGTGCAAGTGTTACGTTACTGTCTCCTTCCTTGTTCCTCAAGGTTACTTTATATTCAACAATCTCTGGAGATAGGATATAATCAAATATTACTAGTTAAAATAAATTTGTTGAATTACCTAATAAATAAATTTATATTGATGAAAGAAATGTGATGCAAATTTATGGAATCTCCGGAAAGACACGACATAGGATTTTTTATTAAAGTGACTGTCTACCTCCGTTTTGTTTTCTTTGGAGATATAAGTAAATACATATAGGTATTTTTTGTATGTATATTTATCATCTCCATTAATTAGTACGTATTGTTAACATTCGATTTTTATTTTTTGCGTGAAATAGCCTTCGAAATTAAAAGACTATAAAAAGTTACACATTTGAAAGCTTACTTTTTAAGGAGTAACATTTGATATTAATCCCCATATTTCTATGGAATCAAGATCTGTCAAGTGAATAGAAATATTGCTGTTAATATAATTTTATGTTTTAATATTAAGTGTGGCAGAGCCAAGCCTCGGCACGAATAGGTCGGCCCGACCGGAGTGATACCACGGCCTCGCAGAATACCGACGTGAAACAATCACAGCGTTGTGTTTCGCCGTGTGAGCGAGGTTACCAGAGGCCCAATCTTTTCCCTCCCCCGATCCCTCCCAATCCCTAAATCTCCAAAACCCTAATCCCTAAAAGGTCGGCAACGCACTCATAACTCCTCCGTTGCGGGTGTCCATGGGCGGCGCTAATTACTTACCATCAGATAATCGCTCGTTTGCCGACCTATTCCATAAAAAAAGTGTAGGTAATTCGAAACACGATAGTACTATTATGGACAAACATAAATGTAAGGTGACTATGGACTAGACAAGTACTTATGTGTTTTAGATTTCTCTTTTTGACATTAATTTCTAAATGGCATGCTGAATGGCGAGACATAGCGCACTTTTATTACCTATGTCTTATGTACTTAGCTTACCTATGTTTGCAATAAATAATTTTAACTTTGACTTTGAATAAAGGAAGTTGTAACCAACTTCTATAGAGGACAGACTGACACACGTTACTCGTTTTGACATTATTATTTTAAAGTAAAAAGTCCTGTTCTGGTAGTTATACCTACTTATACGTGCACCTTCCACTGAGATAATAAACCTTCTGTGAAAAACCTAAAATACAAATGTAATGTACCTTGCAATTTACCATGCCTACTTCATATTTGTCTATAATTATATCTCGTCAATGGTAGCTAACAAGAAAAATACAATCTTGCCTAACAATGTCGTTGTTACAGCGAAACGAATTTAAAATGTATATGTCTGACAATAATTAGATGTTATTATGACGTTTTAAATCTAAGTACCTACGGCGATCATCAAATAGTTGGTCGTTACATACGTCCGTCAAGTGTGGTGTATCTTTTTAAGATTCTGTCATTAGGTAAACCTAGTTATACCGGAGAAGGAACGGGGGGGTTTTTAGTCAGTAAGAGTCTGACACTCTCTCTCGCCTTACCCTGGGCCGGAGAAGTCATTAGATGATTTTCCCCTGACAAAAAAGGTATAGCTAGTTATAGCCTCAGTAAGCGCAATAATATACCGCATCCGCGGCCTGGTGGAAGAGAAGGAACGACCTTCTTCTCCACCAGGCCGGGGGCTTTAGTTTTTAGCCAGTAACAGTTTGACACTCCTCGCCCCACCTAGGGATAGAGAAGTCATTTGATGATTTTCGTCTCAAAATAAATATCTAGTTGTAAATATGAGCAGGTTTGTTGGTCAAGCAAAAGAATTTCTATTTCTGATTCCTGAGTGGCTAGTTGTGAGTAGTTCGCTATCGAAAAGTATGGAATAGGACTTAATAACAAAAAAAGTGGGACACGAAATGAAGTTGTAATTCTCGAGAATAATATTATTGTTTCAATCAACACAGACGAACAAAGGAAGGTGATTTCGAAAGAGACAGATGTAAAACATTTTGAAGTACATATGTACATATTTCAAGCATCGAATAATTTCTCACGTATGTAAAGCTGATTCATAAAATCCGGTGTGACAAACGGTTAATTGATATAATTCGTTAATTTAATGTCCTGTCCACGAGCAGTGTGACCCTGTCTCCTGCGCTGGTTCACAGATCAGAGGCCACTGGTACATCCTCGAGCATAAACAACTCTATTGTTGTTAAGGAGCTCTAGTTAAGTTTCACGACTGATTAATAAGTAGGTATTATGTATATGCTGGTATGCATATAGTAGACGTACGTATACATGTAATTTTTAACTACAGTCTACATATCTACATGGAAGACAGTAGTAATAAACTCTTTTTTGTTAGAACCTTAATTTTGTTTGTAGCTTTTTAGTGTCCTTAAGTTACTTCTGGGGTCACTAGTCACTAGAGATCAGATTTAGTGGTGGCTAGGGCATGTAAGTTGATTTGTTCTCAAACTCACTTCTGGCAGGGGCTTCGTCCACAGTGCCAGATGAAAAGTTTGCCTTTCTGCTATTCCACACTATAATGTATGTCTGTGCCAAATTTCATTTAGGTCTGTTAAGAAGAACATCTATTGGTCTATACTTAGGAACTTTAGCTTTTATAATATTACTTACGAGTAGTAGGATTTTGTAAATATAAAAACTTTGTTTGTTTTGAATTATATGTATGTATATGAGGTAGAATTTTGACACTATGTCGGATGTAGGTATTAGCGTATCCAGATAAACTATTTTCAACTATACAAGAGTATTGAAAAAATAAATTTGTCCAAATAAACACTCATAAACTTAGCACCTAGCCCGTCCCGCGCAGCGCCCTACAGGGCTGATGTTGAGCCGGGGTCCCGGAGTAAGCACAATGTGGCACCGCCGCCTCGGCTCAAAGCAGGAGAACGGGAGGAGGATTTTAGTCAGTAAGACACTCTCTCTCGCCTTCCTCTGGGCGGGAGAAGTCATTTGATGATTTTCCCCTGACAAAAAAAAGGTCCTAGCTCGTAGCAAAGCGCTACTTATGAAGCCATGAGTTTTAAAATATTTCAGTACCTATTTCATAAATTCATATAGTAGGTACATAAACCGCTCTATACCTAATTTAGACATTGACTATCAGACTGATGACCTGATTACAAGCCATCGGTGCCGCCCATGCATACTTGCAACACCACAGGAGTTACAAGTGCGTTGTCGACCTTCAAAAGTAAATAGAACATCACATTTTGGGAAACAATGAAAAATATGTAATTTACTTGCACACAAGAGCGACTCTTATTTATCTTGCTCTTGCAACAGTTACTAAGTATTAATAGATAGCTTTTTCTGTAATTAGATTTTTTTTTATTTTAAAATGTGCATTGAAAATTTTTATTAAAATTATACACACAATCTTTGCACACCACTCTGAATTACTCATCTGTTAAATTCCGCCTTAGTGCAAATAAAAAAAAATTATAATTCATATAAAAATATTATATTAACAAAAAAACAATTACAAAACAATAAAAGCGGCCATACATATAAATACAATGAACAAGGAGCTAGTTTCGACACAGCCGGCACAAACAGCTGAATATCGGATTACATTGGGTAGCTCGAAGTTGTAGAACTGTCTCTTATACTCGAACCACTGCCATCGATCTACCCTGGAAGGTGACCTTCGAAGGATCAGGGAGAACACGCCCCCGCTGACGTCAGAACAGTGGTTGATGATCATAAGATGAGGCGTCACTTTTAGTATTCTTATTACCTGTGGGTGTCTGGGCGGCTCGTCTGGATTCCACATTTCTGTAACAATTTATAATAAATAAAATGTTTTTTTTAATGCGTGTTGGGTGTTAACATTACTTAAATTACCCTGATTTGGAAGTATCTACAAGTCAATATTTAAAATATAAATAAATAACTTTGTAATTCAACAAAGCACGTAATTAGCATTAACTCGTTTTTATTTCCATTTGCAAACTTTTGTTTTACTTGCGTATGTATTTATGTAATGTTACATGACCATAAACGCTAACCTGTATGATTAACTCTGAATAGGAACAAAATTAAATGTACATACATACAATCTTCTTGAAGTCAAATAATAATTGAAATGTTTTCCATGTCTGTGCATTAAGTCCCAGTTTAAAGGTAAGAATTCAGAAATTGAATGTAATATATCTACCTAACTATGATTATCTGAGTAAAATGCAGCTTTGTAGTATCTATTTTTTAAGACATGCTTAGCAAGTCATAGAAAGATGTTCATGTAACTGCAAATAAATTCTGCGATAAATGTATAGCGTTGACATTGAAAAGGGTTTGTCCCTTGTCCAATTATTGTAACTGTCCGTCAGAACAGAATTAAGAAATTCGAATTTTGAAATCAGCATTTTTTTTAATAGGTCACCATCTTTCTTATTCTTTTTTGATTGTATCTTGGAACAAAAATACATATTTTTTTTAATTTAAGCTTAAATATCGCTCTTAGAAAGAACATACAGAAAATTTTCTTCGCTGTAAGTAAGTTGACAATTTCAAGTAGATTGATGTCATTAACAAATATTTTTGCCAATTAGGGAAAACCATACCTCGGACCCAAACAAACTTTGTATTGCGTTTCGTCGTAAGAATTATATTACCGGATACCCAATCCCCTTACTTAATTCCTCGATCCCCCAATCCTTAAATCTCTCACCCCCAAAAGGCCGACAACACGCTATTGAATGACACCGCTTTATTATAATAAGGTACCGATCTATTCACAGAACAGAAAATTAAGTAGAAGTGCCCCTACACTCTTTCAAAAGGAAAACCAGTGTCGCCAAAATCACACATTCGCAAATCAAATTGTCCATTACACACATAAAAAACAGCTATATAATTGGGTAAAAAGATGAAACGCTACTTTAGCAAATCATTTTCTAAATGTTGTTAAAAATTGAGTCTTATAACAATGAGCGAAAGTCGTTATCATTTCACACGTCACAATCAATAAAGGCGTCTATCGTGTAAAAAACTTAAATAAAACAATTTACAAACGGGTTCAGCCACTCAACGCTAGATGGCGCTGTAACAAATTCATTCTATTCAAAACACTAACGTCTTTGAAATAGATGTCATATTTGTATGCACTTGTACCAATAGACATTTACTATTTTGCTACTCAGATAGGGCAGGGTATCCCAATATATCGATGTTTTTGTATTCGTGTGAGCAATATAATTTATCGGCACGATATACCTACAAATGATCAGTAATGAAAAAGGTTCTAATAGAAAAAAAGAAAAATATTAACATATTTTTTGAAGATTTAATGTTTATTGGAGATGGTCAAGTTATTATTAAAGATTTCGATTTTAACATATAAAAGCACTACGCGCTCCTACAAGTTTTATCTCCTTTCCAACTAAAATAGAATCATTAAAATCGGTTCATAAATAATGGAGACGAAAAAACAAAAAAAAATGTTACAGTCGAATTGAGAGTCACTCTCCTTTTTGGAACTCTGATAAAAATCATGTACAACATCTATACTTATAATAAATCTGTAAAGGGGTCAATTCTGTACATTAAATATATTTTCAAAATAACTACCAGGGGGTGATTAGTGATCGATACTGATGCCAAAAATGCAATCAGCAAAAATTTTGTCTGTCTGTCTGTATGTTCTTTATAGAAACAAAAACTACTCGACGGATTTTAACAAAACTTGGTACAATTATTCTTTATACTCCTGGGCAGGTTATAGGATACTTTTCATCACGCTACAAATAATAGGAGCAGAGCAGTGAAGGAAAATGTTGGGAAAACGGGAGAAGTTACTCCCTTTTGTAAGTTTCAGTCGCGTGTGTAACCTTAATGGTTAAACTTACATGGAAATTATGTATGACGAAAATATTTTAAATAAAATTGTCTAAAAAAAAATGTTTTACAGCATATGTCTATCTTTTATGGTTTACTCACAATAGCACGTGTAACTCCTGATAGCTTAGAATTTCGGATAATAAGACATAGCGCCATCGCAAGTGAACACTGAATCATGGTATAAGAATTATTTTTGTGTAGCGGTTGCCGTGCTCGACACGATGCGGTATAAAATATAATATAACATAGGTTTTATCAAATATTTGTAACTCTTACCTATTAGTTAGATCCGTACCTTTCTATCTATGGACGGACGGACTGCGGAGACTTAGTAAGTAATAGGGTATTTACCCATTGGAGATGTACCCATAAAAATGAGACGATAAATACCAAATTTTATGTATACTCAGATTTTGTTCTATTGCTATTTGCTGCTTTTTATCTACACCGCACGCGGGCGAAGCCGCTGGCGAAAACTAGTTATAAAATAAAAATGGTGATTAACCACCCGCACCTGCCACAGACGGATGCACGCTGTGTGTGGTTAAAACGTTGATGTGTCTATGCAATCTTAGTTAAACATTTATGAATTATACTCAAAAATTGTCAAAAATCAATTTTCTGAACGATGATGATGAAAAATTCTCGATACGAACCGAATTTACGAATGTGTCCCATCCCTAAATGAGTAGCGTCGAAACTACTAGAATGTATTGTATATAACGAACAAGTAGATTTAAACTTAATTGTAATGAAAATAAGGCCCGTTATAGTTTGCATTGAAGTAATGAAATGTGATATTTACATTAAAATCAAATATATTTAAAATTAATAAAAGTTAATACTCAAAGATGATACGATACACCACCACAAGACTCATCTTTTTTTCTGCTTACTTTTTTACAGTTGAAAACCGCACAACAAGGCATAATTTCTAATATATTTCGTGTTTCTTAGAGACAACCATGATAACCAATCATGACAACGGATCGAACGATTCTGACAACAAATGTGCCAAAATGTTGTATATCTAGTCATGATGTTGGTTAGCGCGCGATGTCTGAACGGCACTTCCACTGTATTTTCTATTCCGTGGATCTATTCCATAAAAAAATTATTCACCTATTCCTCTCGACATCATCTCTCTCTCCAGAGGCCGCAGTTGGTCTGCTGTCCACAGTCCTGGTGCGTCCGTGCTGTACAGGTATACCTGCTCGACGGATTGGCCGTCTTCGTCCCACACAACTCGCAGACGCCTCTCCTTGTAAATGTCCCTCTTCACTCGAATATCCAACCAGGACCCTGACATGGCGTCACTCGACCACGGATTGCTCTTATAAGAACGCCATTTTTCATCAGAATAATTGTGTTTTAGTATCTAGAAAAAACGAAAGATAAGTTATAAAAATAAAAATGAGTAGTAAGTGGGTTGTTAATTTACTTTATCGTGGTATCTTTTCAGCGTGGGCAGGCCTCTTGGTTACGAAATAAAATATTTGATATACATATGTATATTTAGAACTTATTATGTTTCAATTACAAGCTGCCATAGATTATATAAAAGAAAAACACATTATGTCAATTAGATCCATCAAGTTCCATATTTAAACTTATGCTTAGCTATTTACTTAGTTAAATATAGGACGTATATATAATAAGCAATGAAGTGAGTAGCTGACTATGTACTTACAGACCAATCAAGCCAATCATCTAGAGGTTCGGTGGTGACGTCGGAGATGTGAAGAGTGACGCAGCCAATTTCGTTAGGCTTATTCGTCATGTCTGGACTGTGCTGGGCGTACCCCACTCCGTACCACATACCATACACATCTTCAATGTTGAAGTGGTGCGCCCAGCGTATTTGATCGCCACAGAATCCATGGACGCTGGTCACAATAAGGACCAAACAGGCGGAGAGCGCGGTGAACATATTGGTACTGGGTGCGAGATGAATATGGGACAAGGCGCGGAGCCCGACAGCGCAACCTATTAGCGAATTGGTGCAGGTGATGCTCTCTGCATGGCGTAACTGCACCGTGACTCATTCGACTCGACATCGAATAGTATATACGTATCTATGACTTCTATTGTGTGTAAAAATGTGGTAATTCGGTACATTTCTACGATATATTGTACCTACATACCGTAATACGTGTATGCATTGAAAAAATAGGTAATACTCAGAGGATAATTGTACTTAATCAACTTGGTAAGGTTAAAAGTTAGGATATATCGCCTCATTCCGGAAACCGCTGTTATTTTATTCGACTAAGAATTTTTTTTTAATGTATTTGTCGGCCACCGAGCAGACGGATTACCCAATCAGCGCCGCCCATGGACACTCGCAACGGAGGAGTTACGAGGGCGTTGCCGACCTTTTAGGAATTTGGGATTTGGAGATTTAGGGATTGGGGAGGGATTGGGGGAGGGGAGGATTGGGGCTCCGGTAACCTCACTCACACGGCGAAACACTCTCCCACACTTAAATCGATTTATTCTCATTATTATTTCAAATCCAAGATGAGCCAATTCCTATATTCCTATAAAAGCGCACTTAAAATCATACCATATAATTATAACCAAATAAGGTCGTCAATCTCTGTAACACATTGACACTGATGAGCTTGTCAGAAAACTACATGAAGCGTATCCTGATATCTTAATATGTATGTGTGTGTCATTTCATACTTTAATCAACGTATATATCCGTATAAATCCAAGTTGTAATTAGATAAGGGAAAACAAATTATATAATTAATTTTAACAAAATTTAATTAGGTTAATCATTATTTGTGTGTAAATAGGCAGACTCGCTAATTTTGGATTTAGGATAATGACAATGTGTTTTGTTCATTTAATGGAAAGAAGGTTAAGGTTATAATCAAGTGGATCATCAACTTGCTAAATAAAACCAACAAACAAATTCAACCCGGAAGCCCAATCTTTCCCCTCTCCCAATCCGTAAATCTCCAAATCCCTAATCCCCAAAAACGTCGGCAACGGACTCGTAACTCCTCTGTTGTTGCGTGTGTTCGCGGCGCTGATTGCTTACGATAATTTAATCCGTTTGCCGACCTATCATATATAACAAAAACTCACTTACTTACCTGTTAACAACTAGTCTATTTTCGGCTTCATAGATCAAATAGTTTTCGAGATTTCTTCTTTGATCCGTCAGTGACTTTCATTTACGAGTAAATATATAGGTACTTACGTCTGTATTATTTTACCTAGACATTTATAATACGTAACTGTCGGCAAACGAGCAGACGGATTACCTGATGGTAAACAATCAGCGCCGCCCATGGACACCCGCAACGGAGGAGTTACGAATGCGTTGTCGACCTTTTAGGGATTAGGGATTTGGAGATTTAGGAACTGGGGAGGGATTAGGGAAGGCGAAGGATTGGGCCTCCGGTAACCTCACTCACACGGCGAAACACAACACTGTGGTTGTTTCACGCCGGTTTTCTGTGAGGCCGTGGTATCACTCCGGTCGAGCCGACCCATTCGTGCCGAAGCATGGCTCTCCCACACTTATATACTTATATAGTTAAACTTTTTCTTAAAATATCATCAACCACTTGTTGTGTATTGGGCTTGACTGGTCATGAGAATACAGGTAACATAAAATTTCCGTTAAGCGCATATTATATAGGTACTGATATCCTAATCCTAACTAATATTATCCTAACTAATATTATAAATGCGAAAGTAACTCTGTCTGTCTTTCTGTCTGTCTGTCTGTCTTTTCTTCACGCCTAAACTACTGAGCCGATTTCTGTGAAATTTGGTACAGACATAGTTTGGAACTCGAGAAAGGACATAGGATAGTTTTTATTCCAAAAATCTGCAGGAAGTAACTTTTCCACGTGAACAAAGTCGCGGGCAAAAGCTAGTTTACTATAAAGAGCTAAAATTTGTAATTTGGAAGTTTGTATGTAGGGGTAAGCTTTAGAATCGCTGGTTGGATTTCCAAAATTCTTTCACTAGTAGACAGCTACAACGTTCCTGAGTGCAATAGTTATAAAACATCACGCAACTATCAAAGGGAGCTGGTCAAACCACGAGAGAGGCTTAATAGTATACTAATATTACAAAGAGGTAAAATTTGTAAGTTTGCATGTAGGGGGTAATCTTTTAAACCGCTGATCAGATTTTCTAAATTCTTTCACTGATAGATTTGCGTATTTTAGCCGAACTATCACTTTAAACTCTTCTGTTTTTTAAATCCCAGGCCTTTTTAAATACTTTTCTACGTTAGAAGCCGCGAGTGAAAGCTAGTAAGTAGATAATGGATGGATAAACTGACTCCCACATATTGTATTTTCTTCCTAGTCTGTAAGTAAACACCAACGGAATTAAGTTAAGAATATCAATGCTAAATACAAGCTCCCACCTAACATACATTCAGCGCTGTAATTTTCTTTCCTATGTTGTTTTTTATGTTAGTCATTCTCAAAGCGACTGAGAGAGTCATGCGTTCGTGTTTCACATTGGGCAAACTTTTATTTATCTTTAATTTCCATCAAAAATGTCTGGAATAGCCATATTATAATAATATGTAACGAGGATATAAATCAATTCTAATAATAATAAAATAGACGAGAAAAAGTCGCATACATTAAATGTGTTTGTCTATACTAATATTATAAAGAGGTAACATTTGTAAGTTTGTATGTAGGGGGTAATCTTTGGAACCGCTAGTCTAGTTGGCCAAAATTCTTTCACCGATAGATAGGTACAATGTTCCTAAGTGCTATAGCTATAGGCTATAAAACATCACGCTACGATCCAATGGAGCTGAGCAGCGGGCGAAACCGCGCGAGAATAGCTATACTATAACGAGGAAAATATTACAAAATAACCAAATAAAAGAACGTTTTTCGTTGAAGAGTATATAAGAGTATTTATTGTACACCCACCCTGTGTTACGCTATTCCTTCCATTGTAATCGACAAGCCTCCGAACATCGTCGGTATATAAATAAACGTATTTTAATAAAGCGACACAATTAATAACAATCCTTCAATTCTGCTTCCCAAATTTCACTTAGACAAACGTATTACAATGACGTAATGACTATATAAGCTTACCTAGTCCTTGAAATTTATTATTTCATTAAAATTAAATTTAATCAATGTATTGCCAAATACAGACCCCGTGTTGTTTGTTTCTTTTGTTTCATCTGTAAATATACTTACATTCTTACTACACGAAGGTCAATTGACAAAACAAAGTCAATGAATTCAAAAATAAAATACTTCGAAATTTTGATCCTCTTTAGAAGACGGGTCTAAAAAGAAGACAGTTCTTACCGAACAAATAAATTGAAACGCAATACATAACAATTGTTTGCTATTCTCGTCTTGTTACGACAAAGGACCCAAAATCTATATTTTATACATGACTTACGGTAATCCCTATTGAACGGAGCACAAGATGAGATCCTATATATCTCTGTCTGTGGGGAGGTATTAAGATTAGGAAGCTGAGAATAGAAAGGGAATAAAGATTTGCGTCCACAAAACAACGTTTCAGTAATAAATATTTATTTATTATAGCTCTTCCATATAAAAATATATTTATTATTAATATTGCTTGTGTATTTCAAAACTATAATGTATAAATAGTTACGTAAAATTGACTATTAATTGGTTAAACTCGAGATCCCCAAATTGCGTAGGAGACTATGAACATTAGTAATGTTGATATTGTCATTTTTGACGCCGAGTTTTCACAGACTCTTTTCAGAGCAGAAGTGGAGAGGTGTTTCAACGTAAACACGTTGTGAATACTGGCTAAGTCTTCTGGAGTAAGCTGGTTTTCATTCCTGGACAGCACGACACTGAACAGCTGAGAGTTTGGTAACCTCATGCAGAAGTTCAGCACCAAATGGTTGTTCGCTACTTTCAGGACTTGGATCACTCCGCCGAAGAATCTGTACATGTCCCCAACAGCTGAAATACGGAGAAAATGAATATAAATGACAAGTGTGAGTGTAGAGGTTCTGAGTTCCAACATTTGAATATTGAGATATTATTTATTATCAGAAAATTAATTAGAACTTTAAACTTGTAGTCTCATTAATAGAAAAATGTTTCTTCTATAACTTTAATTAAAAAATAACAAAGAAATTCTTTTTAGATAGTACAAAGATTTTAAAATCAACAGCGAAAAGTCCTTACATCTGTTAGGTACGTCGGTGGCCCAGAATCCTTTGTGTGAAGTGTTGACCTTGATGTGGTAGTCGTCCTGCCAGAGTCCCTCATGCCACTCCAGTACAAAGTGTCGGATGCGGTACCGCTCCTGTATGTTGTACTGACGGTTCACGTACGGTGAGTTGGTCAGCTGAGGATACGGAGTCGGTGGAGTAGGCTGAAATGAAAGAAACAATGATAAATAAATGACAATAAATTGTTTAATACGTGATTTATTAAATCAAAATAATAGTGTTTTCAAATTGAAGCACACAGCACACTCACTAAGTTATGATTCAACAATCCACCCTCGACGTAATCTTCAAACTTCCTAATTTGAACGATAGGGCAATAAGGATTGTATTCAGTTCTAATATCATTTTCTTTGTGGTACACGTATTCGCGAACGTACCACATGCCTAAAACCGCTTCCTCATCAAAATCGTGAGTCGGTCCTAGATTTTGGCAGTAGTTAACGTTGGCTGCAGATGTCGATGTGATGACAAGGAAACTTGATACGATTAGAGCAATGGACATCATGAAAATGTATGATAGGTACTCGTGATCAGGTTCACGACACCGGCAGTCCAATTAACATCTGTAGTCCACTTGGCGTAGTCTCATAGCAAGTACTTACGTGGACAGTAATTACAAATTAACCTATTAATTGACATGGCACCCCGTATCCTGTTGTGTAAGACAGTTCTTTACCCTGTCGGAAATCATAGGTTAATGGACTATACCTTTAATTGCTTTTTTGTCAGATAAATCAGATCTCTTTTGCATTTCATTATTTTCTTTTCATCCTTGTCCAAATCATTCACTAAAGAATAATTAAATAGAGTTGTTGTGCTGAACCACATTTTTAAATATTCAATAGACGAACCTGACAAGCTATTTCGAACAAAGTCTGTATAAAATCAACTTGTAGCAAGTATATACACTGCAGTACATAACTAACATTAGTATGTGGGTATATAAATAAATATTTACGTCTGTTTTCCTCCTGGGGAACTCACAACCGTTATATTGACATGTATACAATAGTTATCCAAAAAATAAGAAATTGAACAACTATCTAAGTAGTACTAGTTTTTACTTTTTAACAACATAGTTATGGTCAAACAAGTGAAAATACTAATGCTGAATTAAAAAAACAATCAATGGTTTTTCCATTATACTATTGGATACAATAAACAACTCGTGAAATCTAATTTTTATTCAATAATAATTGATTATATTAAAAAATTAATTGCACCTTATGGAAATACTTATTAAGTTATTGTGACAAAATTAGTTAACATGTATTACAGAAGTAGTATTATAAGTTATAATACCTAGTAGTATCCTTTCGGGACCTGAGAAGAATCCTTTCGGGAACTTGTCAGAACAAAAAAGAAACCAACCTCAATATTAAGCTCCTTGATGTCGATGTAGAAACATTCCTGCGTGTGTTCTATTTTGTATTCTCCTCTTGTGTGTGGAATTTTCTCAACACCATACCAAACTCCAGATATTTGATCCAAATTAATGTCCCCATAATACGGCGATAAGTCGTCACAGTACTTGTGACTTTCGAAGCTATATTGACTGTAACATTGCACCAAACCAAAACTCAAGGAAATCAAAATAATACTACTGTACGCCATTGGATTAAGCACTCTGGATAACCCGGGTTATATCGGATAAACTGTCGGATAATATGAACCGGCAGTACCAGGAGATAATACGCGCAAGAAGATGTTCTACAGATTAGCCCGGCGGATAGAGTGAGGGCGAAGTGGCGAGAACACGTGGGCGGGCTCCCAAATGAACAACACTCGACTGTCGTTGGACCAGTCCTGGTAATTTACTACTTATGCGAGATAATAAACTTTATCAACACGTTGACAGTCCCCTCTCATGTAAGTGAGACACGTGCATCGCAACTGTACCACGCATACATAAGTACCTTATAATTTTCCTCTCAGACATCGACATTGAACGTCTAAAACAAAACTTGTACAGCTGTAGAACTACTGAAACTTAAGGAAACTAAAAAAAAGGAGAGATTTCCTTAAGAATTTTCCAGTGCCTTCTCAAGTTTTCCGTAGACAGACGCTTTCCTCGGCATACTTAGATGCCAGGGTTGCAGAAGTGTTAGAATGTGGGGTGGAGAAAATCAATAACACTCTCTGACGTCACGGAGGGTGGCTATCGAACGGGTCATGCTAGCGGTACGCTGCATAGTCCCCTGTGTGAGTATGATACTGTTGACGCTTTTGTGTGTCTGTGTATCTATAAAGTTGAATGTTTTGTGTGAGCATTTTTATAATTTATTCATGTTGGGATAACAATTAAAAGCTTAGGGGAGTCAAAAAACCGAGATTAATGTGTTTTTTATTTAAAAACCAACAAGTATCAGAATCACGTCCTTTTTAAGAAGATTAATGGAACATGTAACGGTTTAGAATATTAATTAATCGTTTACAAATTCATTTCATTGAAATCTAACGTATTTCTTACATTAAGCCTTTACTCTTGATAGCAGACGGTGACGTAGTAACGAGGTGGAACGCAATGTGTGACGTACTGCGCCATGGCTAGTCACGACTGCGTGTACTAAGGTTACAAAGGCACCGAGGAAGTAGAACTGAATGTTACCGCAGAAGAACTATTGCCACTATCATGTTAGTCATCATAAATAAGTCCCTTAACTAATACATCGATAAGCATTGTTGTGGTATAATGCGTTCATTAGGACATTATTTAGCAAACACCATGAAGGTTATCAAAGTTGACTATTATTATAAATATCAGAAAAACTAAATCACAATCTTATTTTATCTACTTAATTATAACCCATAACCCATGCGTGCCAAATAAACATTACCTAAATACGTAGAAAATAATTATCTGAGAGTACGTACATCGTTCTTACGTTTACTCCTTTGGTAAAATTACGTGCCAGTAGCCTCTGTACCTAAATACCGGGATAACATATGATAAGTAAGTAAATTTCAGGCCAAATCTAGGCTAACAATGTTTCTGTCGCCACTGATATCTTAGTACTTAGGTATTGAAGAATCTGTGAATTCGGGACGTGATCGCGATTAGTAAATAATTTTTAGGACATGTTTATGTTAGGGTCGCTAAATTTATTCAGTTTTGCTAAAAAGTTAAACTATGACTATTCATATTTTTTTAACTTCGTCTCTACTTGGGAGTTATTATAAAGCGACTTATTATTACATACAATTAAATCATTCTAATTATTTCATACCAACCTGTAATCTGTACGCATCTGTAATGTTTTAACTCCTTCCTCTTTGTTGAAGACGACATAAAGCTATAACCTTATAGCCACCTGCCACTCAAACACCATGGGCGGAATGTGGAATATCCCCATTTTATGCCATTGAATTTTGATAATACCACCCCAAAGGCTTTGTGGTTTTCTGTACTAAGGCTACATAAACTAAGTACAGATGTCGGTACTCGCTCGTGTGACGTCAGAGAGGATCGATATTAAGCCTCTACGAGCGCTACGAGAACGCCTACAGCGAACTACGCGCTACGCTTTCGTAGTGTGTCGTAGTTACAGATTGCTCGGCATTTTTGCTTGGACTAAATTAAATTTGTGTTATTTTACAGTCAATGCCTATTTTTGGAGTATATTTTTGTAGCATACATTGAAATGATGTTTTTATCTTAGTTTACATTATATTTTGATCCATCTAATTTAACATATCATAATAAATATTTCTTCATTTACTTATGTAGCATTTTATTTCACATAAATAAAAAATGAAAGTTTTATTACTTATGTGAAATAAAAAAAACTGCTTTAATAAATGATATTCTCTTATTATTTTTAACAATGGGTTATTTAATTTATTAGAACTAATTTCTACAACATCTATCTATGCAAATAGTTGTACAAAATTGGTACTGTATAAAACTAGTGAATAAGGCATGTCTATTATTAACTTAAAACAAGTTTAACTCAAACTTTCAGCTGAAAATACGGGTCCGAACGCGGCACCGACGTTTCAGAGGTTATTTGTACTAGGACCACTGAAACTGAAAGAGGTTATTTTCAGGCAGCGTTCGACGAATCTCATACTGTTTGGAACATCGTAGCTATCAAAACAAAACTATTACGATTGTGTAGACTCCATACTTTTGTAATTTATTGTGATGTTTATATAGATCTAGGCAGTATTATAAGTAATATATGTTAGAAATATGTTAATGTGGTATTTAAATGTATATGTTTACTACTTTCGAACTAGAACATGCAATAAAGAATACTCGTAAATATGTGAATGTATTTTATTGTAGGTATTGAGTACTAACTATTCCAAACCTATGTATATTTGTACGTGTACGAACGAAAGCGATGCTTTTTCAAATTTTACTTTTATAATTTTAGTCGGATTGAGGGGCAAGCGCAATAAGGTACCGGAGCAATATGGATGATGACTTAGTAAAAAAAATATATCCTCTAATAAGTATATCTATTAAAAATTGCTTAAATATTGCTTCATTGATGGGTTAATTTTAACATACATGACGTCACATCCATTAATCGCGCACAAAAACATAGACATATGACGTTGTCGTGGTGAAGGAGGATCCTACTGCGAGGTCGTTTCTCACGAACTTTTTCCAAGACAACAAACAATTGGTAGTTAGTACCATTCTGCAGAAACAGTTTTTTGATCCTCCAACACAATTGTTGCGAAATGACGTATCCTTCCAAAGAACGAGGTCATCGTGTTTTTTCCCGCACTTCGACCTCTCTTTGCTTCACTTGCCAACTCCTTGAAAGGAAACACCCATTGAGCAGATTGTCTTTTGGTTACAGGATCATAACAGTAAATCCAGCTTTCTTCAAATGTTAGTATGTCGAACACAGCATTTGAGTCACCTCCGTTAAATCTTTCAATCATTTTACGGCACCAATCCACACGATGGAGTTTTTGAGCCTCAGTCAAATTATGAGGTATCCACCGGGCGCAAAGATTCCTGACCGCTAAATGTTCGTGGAGGATGTTGTTGCACTTGACTCGTACCGATGCCCAAGCTTGTCCGAATCTGCTGATAGGTCATTCTTTTGTCAGTATATCTATCATACGCCGCATAACACAGATGTTATCTTTAGTCATCGCCGTAGAAGGCCGTCCCTCACGTAAATCATCAGTGAGATTAGTGCGACCACGTTTAAACTTATTAAACCAGTTGTGAACAGTCGCACGAGATGGGGGCTTCATCGTGAAAGGCCAATCGTAGTCTATCATAACTTTCTTGTTGACTTAAATGACATCGAAAGTCATAAAATAATAAAAACAAGTTGTACGAAAATTGTCTCTTGTTAAATTCATGTTGACGTGACACAGACAATTTTCAATTTGCCGCCATATCGTAAAACAAATGACAAATTAATGAAAGAAATAGGTACTCAGTAATATTGGCAGAGTTCTTTTTTCAAATTTTAGAATTATTTTTTTATTATATTGTTTATAAGTGGCCAGTTCTAAGAACTTTCAGTTTGAACCTCGTATCATTACGTAGATGTCTTGTTAATGAGGCGGTTACAAGCATGACAGCTGAGTAACGGGTTGACTATGCAGTTCAAAGCGAGCAGAAATCTAACCTATTTGGTTTTAAAAAGTATTCTTCAGTCGAAAATCGTCATCGTTTCAATATTAATTTCTAATTCAGTTTATTATTTACCGATTCTGTTTCAACAGTAGGGATTATTCTAGCTGCTGAGGAATCTTTTATAATTTATCCTTTTGGAGACAATGTAAATATTTTTCTATATGAGTTGTTGAAAATGGATGCGTAGGTACATGCATTAAACATGTATATTCAAAAAGGTTTTTAAAATGACATAATTATATGACCTCACACTTATGTTAAAACTTTAAAAAAATATTAATTATAAAATTTTGTTTTTGTGCATATAATATTTTTAAATCTGACTGTTTTTGTCTCTATACTTCAATCAGGACCTACCCCGGCGTAGCGGCAAACGTTACAAGTCGTAGACTTTTCGTAGCACGGGGTAGCGAAGGCAGAATTGGCGTAGTCGCTAAAATTCGCCCCCAAAATTTTCCGTAGTGACGTAACGCCCTGACTACGAACCTACTAGGGTAGCATGACAACTGAGAAGGGTTGCACAGTTTGTACACTCCACAAGTTGACAACTAACGCGGTCGCCCCGCGCTTGCTAGTGTAACACAATAGGGCAGCATGACAGAGAGAAGGTGCAAATAGTTTGTCTAACTATTGGGTGGTGGTGGATGCGAGGGGCGATGACGTCATAAGTGAATCGGGAGAGGGATTCGCGAAGGGCAAGCTGACGGATTGATAAGACGATAACAATGTGTACATGGGAATATTGGGGTCAAACAACAGTATGGTTTGTTGTTACCTTTCTCTCTTTTGATATTTTTTATTTTTACATGCATAAAATAGTTCATTGTGTAAATTCTTATTATAACTCCTTTTTTATGAGAAGTATTGTAGGTTCATTCATTCATTCATAATTTTAAGATAACGAAGGACTTTACGATTTATTTTTTAATAATTAAGTATCATTCATTATACTTTATGTTATTAATCATCATTGATACACGTTTAACTTTAAGGTATTTGTCACACTTTTAAGTGTGAAAGACGCGCAACGGTTATCAAATTATAAAAACTTTTTAATGAACCATTTCCTGAGCTAGCATTTTTAGTAAAAGTAAAGCACTTA